TATTTGACAGAGAGAGACCACAAGTAGGCAGAGAGGCAGGCAGAGGGAGAGGAAGGGAAGCAGGCTCCCTGCTGAGCAGAGAGCCCGATGCGGGGCTCGATCCCAGGACCCTGAGATCATGACCTGAGCCGAAGGCAGCGGCTTAACCCACTGAGCCACCCAGGCGCCCCATAGCCCAAACTTTTCTAGCAAGAACATTTCTAGTGTTCTTTCTGGTATTGAATGCAATCTGGGAGCCAATTTATGTTGCCTTTATCTAAAGCCCTTTTAAAAGATTTCCTACAGGGACGCCTGGGTGGCTCAGTTGGTTAAGCCGCTGCCTTCGGCTCAGGTCATGATCCCAGGGTCCTTGGATCGAGTCCCGTATCGGGCTCCTTGCTCAGTGGGGAGCCTGTTTCTCTCTCTGCCTCTGCCTGCCGCTCTGCCTGCTTGTGTTCTCCCGCACGCTCTCTGACAAATAAATAAATAAATAAATAAATATCTTAAAAAAAAAAAGTATTAAAAAAAAAGATTTCCTACTAACTAGCTCTCAGCGATTTATGGCCTGGAGCCACATGGTGCTGGTTGCGACTATATGGACAAATCAGGAGAGAAGCAGGGACAGGACACTAAGATAGAAGTCACTGAATCCTCACATGAGAGAATCCCAAAACCTACAGTGAAAGCAGAAAAGAGGGTGTAATAGCTCTTCTACTGATTAAAAAAAAAAAAAAAAGATGGCCTGGTGGTTTCATAATTTCCACATTAGAGTTGAGTAGTAGGATCACAGCTTATAAAAAAAAATGGATGCAGGGCAGTAATGACAACAATAAACGACATACATTGAATGTGTATCATGCACTAAATGCTCTCCCTGTGTAATATTATTTAATTTACTCTGAACTCCTTCAAGATAATTACCCCATGACTAGCATTTGAGAACAGGACATGAGGCTTAGATAAGGTCATAAAATAATTTGCCAAAGGCTACACAGGTAGAAAATGGGAGAGTGAAATGGCCAGATATATCTGACTCCAGAAATGGAGTTTTCTACCATCATGACACATGGCACCAGCACACAAAAGATGAGACTAAGAAGCCTCAGTATTTCTTCAGTGTTAAAAGCTGGAAATAAAAACAAAATTGCGCATACATTGGTCCCCAAATATTTGGGAATATTCCAAAAGGAGGGAAGTGTCCCTGCTGTACAGGGTCATCCTTTTCTTATATGGGGTTCCTGAACACAGAGCCTACTACTTATGGGCATTGAAAACTACCTTGAGCTTTCTATCAGCATAATTTCTTACAAATTTGGAGATATTTGAATTTAAAGTACAGTTCCTATCATTGTGAATTTCATCCTTGCTTCTTAAGAAACTGTTGATCTGTAATTGTTAATTTTTTTTCTTTAAATTTCAATGACTGAAATTCATTTTCTTTCATCTGGTCCATGATCACTGCACCCCTATTTTTAAGCCAAATTAGACGAATACTTCACTGACCTAGTCTAACACAAAGTATGCACTGGTGAATTATTTTTAGTTGAAAAAATTTGCTTTAGTTTGAGTTTCTAAAAACCAGTAAAAGAACTGCAGTGAGATATTTCAGCTCAGTTTTTAGCAAAATTCTAAATGATATAGTAGCAATTCCATTAAATATGGCCAGCTCCACAAAGATGCAAATACAATGAAAAACACAAAACTTTCTCTGTCATCCTTCAGAAACACAGACAGGGGCCACTCAACACTAACAGTACTCATTCTCTTTTCTCACGGTACAAATGTGGCAGCTTCTCTTTTCAGCAATTCCAGTACTTCTCTCTGACTGAACTCACTCTTAAATGATGAATAGAATTTACAAGATAAGGGGCAAAGGGCATTCAGTTGAGGGGGACAATGTATACAGTGTACAGCAAAGACTTAAAGGGAATCATCAGAAATTGTGCGTGGGGAGGATGAATGCTGGTAGGAGATAATGCTGTGTAGACAGGCTTGGGACCAAATGTTGAGGGCCTTTTACGCTGTGTGAGGAAGTTGGACAGATACTTAAGGAACAACAAACCACTGGCAACCCATTTTCTTTCTTTCAGGGGCTTCGTATACTTCCTTCACCTCCTGTCATTATCTAAGTTGAAAAAAAAAAAAAAAGCTAGCCTTACAAATTAGCCAAACAAAGCTAGCTTCTTTTCCCATATCCATTTGGAGCATATTTCTGTAATTCAATACATTTAGAAGCCTGATAACTATGGTTCTCTGTATGTGAAATTGTTCTTTGGCATGAAGAAAAGCCATGACTAATTCAAAGGAGGCCTATTTGGGTGGAACTTTTGAAGACTATAAAGCAATTGAAAATACAGATAGAAAAATAAACTATTTTTCAGGAGAAAAAAAATACACGTCTACTGCTGAAGCCATGGGTATTCTTTTTATAAAAGATGTGTTTCATTTTTTACGCCTATGCAATTTCCCTGTGTGCCAAGATGCCTATATGTATCAGGATTAAGGGACCAACTCAAATGAAGAAGAACAATGACAATTATACAAATTTTCCCCAAACATCCTCCAATATATCCAGATATCACATAAATTTATTTTTGGAATTTTCTGACCCAGTCAGGGCCAAGTGGTATCCACATATGTGTTGTATGTGCAATATTAAAACTATTCCTTGTAACTGGACTCATTTTTTATACAAAATCTTGACTTTACACCAACGAAATTTCCAGATTATTTGGCTCTTTCAGTACCTTCTACTTTTATTATAACCAGGACTTCAACTTCAAAGAAAATTGCTCTATAAGATTTAACACATTTCTTCATTGCAGGTGCCTGCTTCCTCCAAGGTAGGGAACATAATCTATTACCGGCCCACATGCCAAAGGACCAGCAGAAATGTGGCAAATTTGGGAGAGCCTGGGAAGTAGGCAAAATAAAATCCCTTAGCAGTTCTAATGAAATCGGAATGTGTTCTATCTCTCTAATAAACGTTGGTCTTATTTTTGTGGGGAGTGCTGAGTGTTGTTTGTTGCAAGTGCTTATCATTTAATTTATTGAAATTGTGAGAACAGAAAGAAGGAGGAGTGGCTATGACAAGATGCACTAAATGCAGACTCTTTCAAGTTATTCATTAAAATCATCAGTCCTGTTCTGCCCCCTCTTAAACACAGATGTATTAACATCAAGATGAGTGGAAAGGTTACCAGGCTTCATGACGCCTAGAGGTTGTAATATTTGTCACCTTAATTTTACAATACAATTAAGTAATGATGCATTTAAACAAATGCATTTATAGCACATTTGAAAAATCTGGGGGTAAAAATAGGATCAAGGTAAATCTTCCCACATTCTAATCAATATTTGCTTGGTCTTAGGAGCACGGCATTCCTACCGACATGGGCTACGCAGTGGCCCCTCACCATTCGGGCGTCTACCCTGTACATGTTCAGCTTTATGAGGCTTGGAAGAAGGTTTGGAATATTAGAATCACCAGCACAGAAGAATATCCGCATCTGAAACCAGCCAGACACCGGAGAGGCTTCATCCACAAAAACATCATGGTGAGCCTCCTCTGGTATGCATAGGGTACAACTAATTCTTTAAGATTTACATTCTTCATTTGAAGAAAGAACAAAAGGGAAGAGCAAAATGTTGAGCTCTTAACTATAGGAAAAGCTTTCTACTGCAGGAGGTATATTTATCATACCTAAGCAGAGGATGTTTTTTTTTTTTTATTTTTTTTTTTATTTTTTTTTAAAGATTTTATTTATTTATTTGACAGAGAGAGATCACAAGTAGGCAGAGAGGCAGGCAGAGAGAGAGGAAGGGAAGCAGGCTTCCTGCTGAGCAGCAAGCCCGATGCGGGACTCGATCCCAGGACCCTGGGATCATGACCTGAGCCGAAGGCAGCGGCTTAACCCACTGAGCCACCCAGGCGCCCGAGGATGTTTTAATTAAAGTCATTTCTGCACAATTCTTTGAATACAAAATACTTTTTTTTTTTTTTTAAGGAAACAATATATCTAACTTGCAGGTAATTTACAGAAGCCATCATCTCCTCAAAAAATTATTTAGTACATAAAATAGGGATGCCTGGGTGGCTCAGTGGGTTGAGCCTCTGCCTTCGGCTCGGGTCATGATCCTGAGGCCCTGGGACCGAGCCCCACATTGGGCTCTCTGCTCAGCCCTCTCTCTCTCTCTCTGCCTGCCTCTCTGCCTACTTGTGATCTCTGTCTATTAAATAAATAAATAAAATATTTTTAAAAACATTTTTAAAAAGTTATTTAGTACGTAAAACGAAAGCCAACTCTCCCTATGTTAACGTGCTGCTCTTTTACAAGTCAAACTGTTCACGTTATCATGTCAGACCAAGCAAACAAAGAAAAACTTGACTAGTTACAACAAGAAGCCACACATGAAGCCCTGCGTCATTACTAACAGATCATAATAAAGAGTAAAATGCAACAGACGATGTTAATTAAGTCATTTTCATCTACTGTCAAATTCTCTCCAAAGCTTCCCTAATGTTTTGTTTTGTTTTGTTTTGTTTTACAATGGTGACACATGCCTACTGTCAAGATATGTTATTACTTAATACTTTGTGAGGCCTCCCAAAGGAACTAAATCCTACTTTTTTTCCAAACTAGAAAATCCAAAGAGTACTGATGACATGAGGAAGGGGCTTCCTGATTTAGACTCATCCTGGGAAGGAATACCATGGAGAAAAACACTGTGCGGTGAAGCACTGTAACACTCTGTCAGACTATGTCTGACCAGATACCTACTCTAGAATTAGGAGTAACTGACTTCTTTTCAGACAGTTTTCTAATGTCTGCAAAAATTATAGAACGGATGATGACATTTAAGTTGGATCATCTCCCATTTTGACTTTTCCCTCAATAAAAACTGCTGTAAATGCTAGGTGGGGACATAATGGCTCTATTTTATCCCAGTCTGTCCTTCTTCTTTACTGAAGATAAACTCACTATGCCTCAACTGCCAGCCTGTTGACCAGAGAGCATTTAGGAGACCTGGGTTATGATTGAAGAGTATCAGTACTTTCCTGCCATTTTTAAATCATATGCAGTGTTGGTAGAACAGTGAATTTAAGTCTCTAAGGACTTTATTAAACATTGTCCTCTTTTTTTTCTGTTTCTGTCAATACTGCCAGAAAATTTGCTTGGCTGTGTCCCATGGGATATGTTCATTTTTTGTTTCTCCTAAAAACATATTTTAACTATACTGTAAATGCACAAATCTTACAGGTAATAAAGGCTCTGTTTTGATGGAATTGTCCCTATGGCTCCAGTTGTGTAGCAATCCATGGAAACCCTCTATACTTGCTTTGTGGGCTCTTGGATGAGAATTTTCAAGTGGGAAATGCTCAGCAGGCCGCTGATTGTGCAGTAAAAGAGAGAGAATATGGCTTGGAGTCATCCAAATAGAGATGCAAGTAAGACCGTAAGAGCCAGTATGCTCTCCTAGGAAGAGAATGAAAAGAAAAAAAAAAAAAAAATCACACCCATATTTTGTTTTATGAGATGAGGGACACTTTTTAAAAAATATTCATAAATCAAATTCCAAAGGTCTTAAATGGAGCGCATTACTTCCCTTCAAGCCAGCTGTTATTGATCCTGCTATTCCTGATTCAGTTCTGCAACTCGGACATGATGCTGGCCACTGCCTTCCAACTTCCAGCCTCTGCATTCCAACAATAATTCCTTTACAATGCATTTTTATTCCCCTTAGTTTCCCACAGCCTAATTCACTGCCTTGGTTTCATGTGTAGACTGTACTGCTGGCTCCTACTTTGTTTATAGCTTCAATTTACCCCCCACACTATAGCCTGTTCCACAGATACTGCCAGTCTTTTTTTTTTTTTTTTATTCTTTTTAGAACACTGCTGTCATTTTGGCCTTCCTAACCTTGATACATCCAATTATCTCCACACCCCTTAACTTGCTCTTCAGGTACCTGAAAACAATTAAGTCTAAATCTACCTTTCTACCTTCTATTTTCCTGTAGCTAATAGAGACTTACTCCAGCCAAAAATTTCTAAAACAGTATTGCTGTGTTCATATCTTTGTTATTTTTTCTTCCTCAAAAGACTTTCTGACCACTCTCTACCTACTCTTATTCCCTTTATTCCTCGATATCAAGTCCATGTCCTATAATTTATTGTAAAGCGCCTTGGTGTACAACAGTTGAGCAGCTAACTCAGTCCTGCTCTCCTGTGAATTCCCATAACAGATCCTCTTATAACTCCACAAGAAGATAAAAGCCTATGACATTTCAAGGCATTTGTGCCCTAACCAGAGTCTCTGAGTTTCCAGTCCTAGTGCACTGTCTGCTGGACAAATTCGATCTTCATTCAGTAAGAAATTAAGGAAAAACCAGGATTCTCTACCCTAACCCCTGGTTGCTAAATGTGACTCTCTGGAGAAAGCCAGAGCCCTCTAAACAATTAGACTACAGATCCTGATTGTCCGCTTTCTGTTTCCAATGGAGATGCCCATTGATAAAGGTTCCTATTAACCCTGCTGGCAGCCTCCTAGATGGTCTTAACAGGTAACTCCTAAAAGCATTTGTTTACAGCTGCTCTAGGTTTAGGTCTTAAGTACAGGATATTGGCTTCAGGTCCAATTGGTCAAATTCTTGTTGGTTAGGGCTTTCTTAACCATCTCCCACTTACTGTCAGCAAGGTTTCCATAGTCTCCTCAATGTCTCAAAGTCTGAATTTGATAATGTCACACTCCTAGAATCAGTTCTAGAGGACAGTCCCTAGCAAAACACCTAAAAATAAACAAAAAAACAAACAAACAACAAACCCTCTCTCATTCCTTCTCTAACACAAGAGAGCTATTTGAAGGAATATGTTCAGTGTCCTGTAGCATTAAGCTCAGTGAGCTAGACAATGGAATATGACCCTGTCACATTCTAAGTATCTCCTCACCCTCCTGTGGTAGCCCGCTGGATCATCCGAGGGCTCACATTAGCTCTTATCCTCTCCGTCGGTGCTATCCTTCCCAGAGGTGAAGGATAAAGCCTTTGCACTTCCTCTTCTCTGTGTTCAAACTCAAATAATTTGAGAAATAGACAAAACTCCAACTTCTTTTCTCTCTCCATTTTGCACAGAATCAACGAGGCAATCAAGTCCCAAAGATAGCTCTTTATGTTTCCATAGTTTTTCAGGCAAGATACTCAAACTGAATCCCGAAAGTGATTCAGAATCATGCACTTTTAAAATGTAAAACTAACCTAGCTTTTAACCACCTGTGGGTATTTATTTAGCTTTGGAGTATTTCTCTTTATGCAAATATACCTTAAATTCTTCAAGAGTAGAAAGAATGTATCTTTGTGTTCTCCCACATGGACTTACATAGAGTTAAGAATATGTACTTGTTTAAAAAAATGAACAAATGCTGTATAAAGCTTTGATTTCCTGGAGAACGATATTTTCATGAATTGTTAGGGAATATATTTAATTCAGCTCGAATATCTTTGCACTGGGTTCTTGTTCGCCATTGATTTTGTGCATAACATTGTAAGAATGTGGTACTTTTAAACATAAACATCACCAGAGCTAATACTCGGCAATAAATTGAAGTTCATTTAACTATTTCATCAGGATAGAACAGCTCTCAAGGATATTTGACCAGTTTACAAAAATAAATAGGATATATGAAGTTCCAATTTACACAGCAATGTGTGATATACTGATTGAGCTAAGAATTGTGTTTTTTGTAAGAAAACTTTCAAGGACGAGATTGAAATTTATTATAATACAGAAACTAAAGGAAAAGAACTAGTATATTTGTAGAGGGCTGCAAAGCATGAAAAGTCCTACACAGGCAGTATTTTGAAAGCACTTACTGAGCCAAATGTGCTTTAAGAATAAAGACCAAAAAATGAAGATCAATTTACTGAGGACAATAAGCAGAAGACTTGCATGTTTAAGATTCCGTAAGCCTGTATCTCTCCAAAGTATATTCATTAATTGGCTATTCCTTCAAGTATATAGTGAGAAACACAGGTCATTACAAAGTCATTATATAAGATATAGCTAAAGATTGTACCATCCTGCGCAGCATTAATTCACACTTTCTTTTATAATTGCACTGTTATTTTACCAGAAAAGCTTTGAGAATTAAAAAAAAATCCTTATCATGAATGTGTATAATTGAAACAAATAATGGTTTTCATATACAAAGGATGAAAACAAAGTTTTCTCCTAAGTGATGTTTTATCATTTTGTTTATGGCGGTTTATAAAAGTTAATAGTCAAAAGCATAATCTCTTTTTAAGTTTTGGAACTGGCAGCCTTCAGACTTAAAATTTGGGGCAGTTGTTCTTCCAGACTAGAAAAGATGCTATGATTTGTGTCTTAAATATTTGTTCTAATTTAAAATGTCATTTCTTTTTTTTTAAATTTAAATTCAATTAGCCAACATATAGTACATCATTAGTCTCAGATGTAAAGTTCAATAATTTATCAGTAGCACATGACACCCAGTGCTCATCATATCATGTACCCTCCTTACTGCCCATTACCCCATTACCCCATCCCCCCACTTGCCTCCCCTCCAGCAACCCTCGGTTTGTTTCCTATAGCTAAGAGTCTTTCGTGGTTTTTCTACCTCTCTGATGACTTCCCATGTTTTCCCTCCCTTCTCCTGTGGTCTTCTGCCCTGTTTCTTATATTCCACATATGGGTGAAACCATATGATGATTGTCTTTGATTCACTTATTTCGCTCAGCATAATACTGCCATTTCTTAAGAATCACATTGTTAATGATTGACTTCATTTTCTAGTGCATGTGTAGAATTTGGCAGAAAGTATTATCCTTAAAATTTTTGCCTACTAGATTACAGGGTAGACAATTCCAATATTTTTAAAGTCTCATTTTCACTTCTTTTTTATTTCTTAAGATGCTGGAACATACTAGGCTTCATAGCAGCAGTACTGACTTGGAGATTTAAAATAGATAAGTGGCTAAAATAATTCAAAATCTATCTTAGTTTTAAAATATTTCTTCAACTTTCTTCAGTATTCTTTCTGTGCTGATGTCGTTCTTGCTTTCCCAGTGTGTGAAGGATTTTCTGGGTCTTAGTTAAGAGTTGAATAATGATACCAGCTTATGCATCAACAACTTCCATGAGAAAAAAACCCAAGTTTCAACAAATTAATTGGTCGAAGGAACTTTTTCCTTACTTGTTTATTCTTCCTTCAGGTTCTTCCAAGACAAACCTGTGGGCTTTTCACTCACACAATTTTCTACAAGGAATATCCAGGAGGTCCTAAAGAGCTGGACAAGAGTATCCAAGGAGGTGAACTTTTCTTCACTGTGGTTCTCAATCCAGTAAGTACTTTGAGTTAAACTCAAAAAAAAAAAAAAAAAAAAAAAAGGTGAAAAATGATCAGGTGGCTGAAAATTACCCTGACAAAAAGGCCAGAGTTTGGGTAGTTTCAGCCAACTCAGTATGAAGTTCTAGCTCCAAAACAGAAAAAAATTCAATTTGGAACCACATCTAGAGAAGGAGGCAAACTCATTCTACAAGTAGCAGTGACGTGAGGAACTTATGGAAAGCCAGGAGAGTGCTCCTGGACCTCCTTTGCATTGAAAAGTGTTCAGAATTCAAAGATTTATTTCTTTTATGGAGAACAAGATCTTTTTTAAAGTTTTTATTTAAATTCAGTTAACAAAGAGCATAATGTTATTTTCAGATATACTACATAGTGATTCAGCACTTCCCTACAACACCTGATGCTCATCACCTGATGCCCCCAACCCCCAGCCCCTGCTAACCATCAGTTTGTTCTATATAGTTAAGAGTCTGTTTCTTGGTTTGCCTCTCTTTTTCCCTTTGCTTTGTTTTGTTTCTTAAATTCCACGAGTGAAATCATATGGTATTTGTCTTTCTCTGACTTCTTTTACTTCATATAATACTCTGTAACTCCAGCCACATCATTGCAAATGGCAAGACTTCCTTCTTTTTTATAACTGAGTAATAGTCATATACACACACACACACACACACACACACACACACACATACATACCACCTCTTCTTTATCCATTCATACATCAATGGACATTTGGGCTCTTTCCATAATTTGGCTATTGTAGATAATGCTACTATGACCATTGATAAACATTGTGGTGCATGTATCCCTTTGAATTAGTATTTTTAAATTCTTTGGGTAAATACCTGTAGTATAATTACTGGATCATAGGTTAGTTCTATTTTTAACTTTTTAAGGAATCTCCGTACTGTTTTCCAGAGTGACTGGCTGCACCATTTTGCATCCAGTGCAAGAGGGTTCTCCTTTCTCCACATCCTCACCAACACCTGTTGGTTCTTGTTTTGTTGATTGTAGCCATTCTGGCAGGTATAAGGTGATATCTCATGTAGTTTTGTTTTGTATTTCCCTGATGATTAGTGATGATGAGCATCTCTTCATATGTCCATTAGCCATCTGTCTGTCTTCTTTATATAAAGAACTTATAAAACTCAACACCCAAAAACTGAATAACCCAATTAAAAATGGGCAGAAGACATGAATAGACATTTTTCCAAAGAACAAGATTTTTTTTTTTAGATTTTATTTATTTATTTGACAGAGAGAGATCACAAGCAGGCAGAGAGGCAGGCAGAGAGAGAGAGGAGGAAGCAGGCTCCCCGCTGAGCACAGCCCAGGACCCTGAGATCATGACCCGAGCCGAAGGTAGCGGCTTAACCCACTGAGCCACCCAGGCGCCCCAAAGAACAAGATTTTTTACCTGCAAAATTCTCCTGTTCCCACTGTGGACCAGTTTTCTCATTTAAATGACCATGAACACTGTGATTCTGTTTTTCCCCTTCCTATTTAAAGTAAAGGGATAAGCAAAGTGAAAGAGGAATTAGGTGAGTAAATATGGTCATTTTGGATACATTTATGTGAGAGCTTGTCTTGTTAGTTCTCAGGCTGGGCAGAGCAGCCTGTTTAATTGGCTGCTGCTCTTCTTCCTTCACTTCCTAATACTTGTGTGCCATCTCTACAATAACCATTGGCGCATATATCTGCCGGAGGCTCATATGATAAAGTTGTACAGAAAAAGACGAACTAACTGAAGTAAGGTGTATAAGGAAAAGAAGGGATTTTATTTCCCTTCTGAATATCACTAGCATAAAAAAATAAAATTAGGTTTATTTATCAGTTGTATGGGTTTGCCCCCTGGCATTAGCAATATTAAAGATGAAAAAGTGTAATTTTCCAAATATGAAAAAAGCCTGTTAGCATAAAAGTTGAAGAAGATAGAAATAAAGAGAATAAAATTTGAAAAGCCCCATTCTGGATCCTAATTTTACAGGTCTTGCAAATAAAATTACAGGTATTTTTCATCATCTTCTTGTATTTAATGACTATATTTATTTCTCAGCTTCTAGAAAATGAGATTAGACATAAGGGTGACTCATCTTTGGGAAAAATCATCATGTGTATCCAAAACTCAAGATGATTTCAGGCAGTATGCCATTTCCCCTTTTGGAAGTTTATCCGTCTTCATATCCCCAAAATGTAAACAATTCTGATTTATATACATCAGAAATAATCTGATTTTTCTAATATATCTATTCTTTACAAATGGAAGCATCTTTGGAATAATCTCTTATGGCTTTCTCCTCCTCCTCTTCCATTCTCTCTCTCTCTCTCTCTCTCTCTCTCTCTTTTTTTTTTTTTTGGTCAACTCAGCCAGTAATACACAGGTAAAAGAGTTAAACAAATACTTGATTATGAACTAAAGACTAAGTTAAAATATTTTTAATAAGTTAACATTTTCACCAATTATTTTAAGACCCTTTAATCTGTAAAGTATACAGTTCTTACATCTTATATTTCCTTTCATCATAGAGCAATATGACTATGAACAGATAATGTCTATTTGATTCTTTTTTTTCTTAAAGAGAGAAAGGTAGAGAGAGAGCATGAGCCAGGTCTGGAGGCCGGGGTGGGAGTGGGGGCAAAGGGAGAGAGAGAATCTTAAGCAGACTCCACAGCCCAGTAAAGAGCCTGGCTTGAGGCTTGATCTCACAACCCTAACATCATGACCTGAGCTAAAATCAAGAGTCAGGCACTTAACTGACTGAGCCACCCAGGTGACCCCTCTTTGATTCTTTTACCCAATCGTTGCTTTGGTGCTTAAGAAATTCCTAGTGGTATTACAATTTCTGAACTTTCTAGAGGAAATTAGTTTCATTTAACATGGAAGAAATTCATTCATAAATAGAGATTCATATACAATACATCCATATACAATTCATTCATATACAAGAGATTTATAAGAAATGTTTTTCACTGTTTCAAAACCAAAATCTTTTCTTTTTTTAATAAATATTTTATTTTATTTTATTTATTTGACACAGAGAGAGAGAGAGTGCACAAGCCCGGGGGGCGGGGGGACAGAAGGGGAGGGAGAAGCAGACTCCCCACTGGGAAGGGAGCCCAATAATAAGCTTGATCCCAGGACTCTGGGATCATGACCTGAACCAAATGCAGATGCTTGACAACTGAGCAACCAGGCACCCCCCAAATTATTTTCTAAAAATCTTACCATAAAGCTTGTATGAATCATGGATACTAATTTGAGCTAAATTAGCTGAGCAAATGCTTTAAATGTTTAGCAAATCTAGCTACTTTTCAGGCCTTTATAGATAATACTGGCAGTTTTGTTTTTCTTGATGAGAAGATCCACATGGAATAAAGGGGAGGAAAAAAAAAATTCCAGAGAACTTGTGCTTTCCTGATTCAGAAAACTTTCAGTAGACAATTACTTTCAGATAAATGTTGGAATTCAAAATTGACAGATCCTTGTCAGACACCATAAGATAGGGAAGGAATCCAAATTAATTTCATCTGATATGCCAACTCCAATTTTTGGAAGCAACTAGAGTCACCTGGAGATTTCTGGTTGAGAAGCCCACTTCTAAAACTCAGCCCAAGTCTCACCCAAGAGAAGACCACTATCATTAGCTAGTGATGTTTGCCTTGCAGAGCAGAGTGAGGAGTGACCTGTTTCACATTAATTATCCATCCCAAAATTACATGTTTGGGTAAAGCTTGTGTTAAAATTAAGAGAGGTCCAGGTGCAGTGAGGCATGCTACTGATTCGTCGGATGGCACTCTTTTCCAGGTCAGAATAAGAACAAGAAAACCTTGATGGCACCATAGTACATATTAGCTGCAGGAAAGATATGAAATTTAATTATAGTGGATTTGAATGATAGCCATTATAAGCTTAAGTAATACCCTAGTCCTTGATTAGAAGTGCTATTTTCTGAAAGCTGAATGAGTTTTCCAACATGCAAAAAGGCATAGGTGTATTGGAAATATACCTATGTCTCAAATATATTCAAATACACTGGAGCTGAAATGAAAATAAACAGGGGTGCCTGGTGGCTCAGTGGGTTAAAGCCTCTGCCTTTGGCTCAGGTCATGATCTCAGGGTCCTGGGATCGAGCCCCACATCGGGCTCTCTGCTTGGCGGGGAGCCTGCTTCTCCCTCTCTCTCTGCCTACTTGTGATCCCTCTCTCTCTGTCAAATAAATAAATAAAATCTTTAAAAAAAAAAAAAAAGAAAATATAAACTTTAAGTAAAATATAACTTTAAGTTTAAAATATGAGTTTAAGTTTAAAATATAAGTTTAAAATATAAACTTTAAGTAAAATATAAACTTTAAGGAATTTAAGTAGCGTATTTTAAGTTTTCTGCCCACATGTCAACATAATATCAAGGTGCTACAGTAAGTTTTGCCAGTATCTGGGTGAGAGGTAGCTGCAACAGAGTTGCACCTCTCAGAGTTAAACTAGAATAGATCACAGTGAAGACAAAATAACACTCAAACCTGAAAGGTTCTACTGTTACCAAAGCATTTTTTATTGTTAAAGAAAAAAGTCCTCACCAAATAAATTTAATACAGATAAAAACAAATATTAGCAATATCTAAGAGAGAGAAAACCTCAGCCTTCTCCAAATGATATTTCCAATATCACAGGCCTAGACACCTCTTCTTATATGCATTGGATACAGAGATTTTGTTTAATATATTGATTTTGAAGTTTAGGTACAGTTGGGAGGTGGGACCATCAGTATCTGATCCAAGGACCACAAAGAAATTAAGAATTCTTTTCTTTTGTGTGTGTGTCTGTTTCTAAACTCACCCAGTGACGACTTTTTTTTTTTTTTTTAAGATTTTTTAAGATTTTCTCTCTGCAGCAGGCAGAGAGAGAGGGGGAAGCAGGCTTCCCACTGAGCAGAGAGCCTCAATCCCAGGACCCTGAGATCATGACCTGAACAGAAGGCAGAGGCTTAACCCACTGAGC